GATCGTTTTGACCTCTTCAGATCAGTGTTTCATTTCCGTCGCCCACCCAACCCGACCGATATATTCATTATAACCAACGTTGCTCGACACCACTGCCACAGTTTTGAGTCATGTCTTCAATTACTGATCAAGATCATCAAATTATGTCAGAACGTCACTCAAGAAGTACGAGTGCAAGTATTTCATTCGGCCTAGGCCTTGTAGCAGTTGAGCAATCCGAATTCGTCTACCCTACCAACCAGTCAGTGGTACTTTTTAATGCTAAGCAGGGTTGCTGTTAGTGAATCATTCCGTAAATAAATAAAGTCTGCTTGGTCGACCGGATCGAATCGCTTGGGGCACGTGCCACGTGTTGTTGAACAATAGAGCTCATCGTCTGTTTGGAGATTAACTCCTCACCCCCGCTTACCAGCGAGACCAACCGTGATTATCGCCCGTCTGTTTACACAGTCCGATAGAGCTCATCCATCAATTGAATTCTGGTGCCATCAGCAGGATAAATCTTAGGGCAAAACTACCGCCAAGTCATTAACTATTGAAGTTGGATGAAAACATTAAAATGTATTCACAGTTTTACAGATTAAAACAGGTAGTTCCAAACATATATGTGGTCGCTGTTGCTGTTGTTGTTTAGAACACTCGTTTAGTACAAGCAAAAGCCCATTTCCGAACACGAACAACTCAAATTGATCTAGTAACCTCTCCGATTGAGACAGCACTCAGCATTCACTTCCCTCATTCATCTTCTCCTTTGCGACGATGAGATTGCTTCGTGGCGAGTTCCCCTAAAATTGGAACTAAACTGTCAAAACCCACTTCATAGGGATGCCGTTCAAGAGACAAGATTTGTGAGATGCTCATTCAGATCGAATTGATCAATCATTGCCTGCATTGTCGGCTGGTATTGAAAGCGCTGATCGCATGATCACACCTCCACCATGAGGGGAACGCACGGTGAGCTCCCCATGGCGGAGAGCTTTTTTTGTCAGAAAGGGATTGAGCTAGCATAAAGTAACGCAACTACTCACGCTTTGCGTTGGATGACTTTCTTGCGGGATTACCGCAACTCATCAATGGATTGTGACATTTTCAACACTGATGAAACCGATTTATATTAAATTAGCTCCAGTGAAGGACATTAAGTGTCAAAGGATATACAGGTTCTGGAGCTGAGAAATCGGAAGTAAATGTCATCTTATCACCGTTGGTTGTTTGAAAATATCAAACGCTAGAATTTCTGGATGCAGATGGCGAAAACCTGTCATGCAATTAAAATTCTTCCAAAAACGCATGGATGACTTCTGCATTATTCAAAAATTGGGTGTTCGATGTTGATGATAGAGCGGTTTCTCCGGGAACCCTCTATTTTGCTGTTTATAGATGAAGCCCTTTGCCATACCAAAGCTGCAACTTTATTCAAGGTGAAATCAGCATGTTAGCCTCCAAACCTTTCTTCCACTGGTATACCTTTCGTCCTTGGTCCAGTAAAATGCCGAAGTGGGCATGCTCATGGCAAAACATGTGAATGTAATCATTCGAAAGCGTGCTAATTAACGCTTTCAGGAATAAGCCAACGATCCAGGTAATGTTTGTTAAATCCGATCCGATTGAGGGATTTTGCAAACTGTGTCTATTGATCGGCGTCTTTTTAAAGAAGAACTTACCTGTCGGATATATTGTGTAGCTTCTAATACTTTGGTTTTAATTTTCGATCAACTCGCCACGGATCAACCCAAGTGTCGCAAAGGAGAAGATGAATGAGGGCAGTGAACGCACCAAATGTTACCTCAACCGGGAAGGTTTCTAGTTCAATTTAAGTCATTGCTTCATGTGAGTGCTTATAGTTTGGTTCGATCATAGAATTGTTTTAATCGAAGATCGTTCACCACGACCTGTGAGTGGCGTATAAACTTCTAAATATTGTTTCAGTGTGAATTTAATCCTAACAACCGCTGGTTCCTCTTCTTTTCTATCTTGTTCCATGCGGACGAAGCTTCCTGGTCACGGGCGTGTTGTTGCGCTTCTTTGCTGGTCTCACTTGATGCCTCACCCGATCGTTTTCCCCACCTAACTAATTTTAATGGGTTTTAAATAATTGTGCTACATCGTGGAGGCCCATTGGATCGATATGATTCTTAGCGAGTGTGCCAAAGAGTTGCAGGCGGTTAATGATGTCTCTTGAAGGTTGATAGATATGTCTTAGTCCAATTTTTTGGACAATGCTTTTTTCCATTGCACTTTAGATCACTTTAACGAGCGGTACCCCAGTCTACCAATATCCGTGTTCTTTCTTGTGTACTTCACAAAATGCATTTAATCTCAAACTCGTCACATGCAACAGATCAGATGGGAAAGTTCTTTTCATTTACGTTTTAGGGCTTGGGTCCAGTTCGAAAAGACATTCTAGCGATCCCGCATCCGTTTATTGAAGAACGCGAGGTGCCGGACACACTGATGAATGCTGTCCTGGCAGCCGCAAGACGCAAAGATTCTTCTGCAAATGCGAAACCCACGGAAACGCGACTTGCCCGACACTTCGCCGAATTACGTTTGCAATCGGACCTATCGGCACACGGAGATGCTAAACAAATAGTACCAGGACCAGAAACAAACGAAGCCTCTGGGAAACTTCACGTTCGCATCTTACGTGTTCCCTTACCCGACGTGTTAGTTGTCAACGGCCAACCAGTTGGTTCCAGTTGGACAGCCGCGCCCGTGCTAAAAAACATCTTTTTCACTGCGATTTAGTTTCACTCGAAAGTAAGAATCAATGCACCGGTGACTAGATTTATCCGCAGCACTCAGGTTTATGCTTAGTTCATTTCCCTCCCCTCACGTACAACCACCTATCAGCCCCGAACATCTAGTTTTTGTTCACTTCTTCCGTTCCCGACGAAGACGTCGCGTCAGCCCTTTTGTGTGCGGTCTTCAAATGTCGCGTCACAACACCGTTCAGGTGAAATATTGAGTCCGAGTTGATGTTTCTCTGGCTTGCTATAGCTGGTTGTCCTACAGTGGTGTAACTCTTCATGAATTTTCATATTTATTTCAAGCATTGCAGTTCTGTGATCTCAATAGTCGAGCACATCTTCGTTGTTCTATTGCTCATATGAGACTTCTCCCTCACCCAGAGCCCGTTCACCCACACCAATGCCGAGTGGCGAATAAAATCCCACCTAGATTGACCTCGTTACTTCAGGAAACAAGTTAACGAGACGGGCGTGATTCTGACGGGCTCCCATATACGACCGTGTGCTGAAACATCCCGAAGTCAGTTTTGTCCATGCGCTTTGGAGATGAGTTTTTCGTGTTTTGTTACTGAAGCAACGTTCTTTATGAGAATAAAACCGTTCTCTCAATTTATCAATGATGTTAGTGTTTCTTGGGTTGATTACACAGCTCACCTAGCAGAGCCTTACGTGGTTCACCACTCCATGTCCCGGGTGTTTGGTTTGTTGGTGAACAGCTGTTTTCGTGACTGTCGGTTTCAACTCCGTCTGCTGTTCATCGCGCAACTGTAACAAAAAGGCTGGACAAATAGACACCGGCATATTCTGCAATGGTCATCCATAGTATGTACCAAATATCCAAGTATCCTGATGTTTCGGTGACTGAACTGTTA